AAAATCCTTCTCGTCTTTTTTTTTTTTTTTGGTAATTTCCTCCCAATCCGTCCTCTCTTTGATGTTGAACATGTGCAGATCAATTAGTTTCGATGGGAAAGTCTAATTGGTTGAAGTTTCAATTTATGCATGGCAGCCGAATTCCGGGATAACGATCCCCGATGTGTCTCTACTTCAAGTTGTGTTTCTTTTTCGTTCTTGACCCGTGTTGAGGGCTGTGACAAAGAGCACAAGCCATTGAAGAAATTCCGACCAGTGCTCGTATTACAGCTCACACCATGGGTCGAGGTTTTCTCGCTGGATGTCATCTTTGAGCCATCGATCTAGTCGGTATGCTTGTGTTTTTCTTTATCTCAGTTAGGTTTAGAAAGCATAAATTTTCAATCGATTTATTTGGTAGTAATAGGTTAAGAAGTACAGTTAGTCTCATTGTTAGTACTTGTTAAGTTTCTCCTTTCCTTTTACTCTTTTTCTTTTGGTTCTGCTTCTTTAGAAAGTCAAATGTTAGTAGGGTTCAGAATTTAGTTAGTCTGGATTCCTTGTGAAATTGTTTTGCCTAGATTTGGGATCGGACTTGCTGGTGCAAGAGGCCTAAAAGAGACTGTTGTAGCTTGTTAATGCAGAAGCCTAAAGGCATTGGGGCAGTTTGTTTCAAACGTATGGTATGTTTAAAGTAATTACCAAATCTTTTGAGGGGTAGTTAGGAGAATTGAGTAGAAGGAATCTTCCCTAACTATCTAGGAAGTTTCTAGGAAGGTAGGAATTGGGAGGTTTAATACACATGTTTAAAATTTAGGGTCTGAAATGAACAAGAGGGAATTCAAGAGAGGTAATACTGAATGAAAAAATCAGGTTTTGCTGCCCTAGAACCTTTCTATAAAAGGCTCTTTTCATTCATTCCTAGGGCAGGGATTAAGAATCCAAAAAATAGAAATAGCTGAAAAATCTTCAGAAAATACTACTCTAGTTTGGGGTTTGATTTCCTTGGTTGAAAAGTTTTTTGGAGTTGGTTTTTCTTGGATTTTCTGGTCTTCTAATGTATCTGGATATCGAAGCTGATTGAGCTGTTGATCATTGCTTTTCTTTGCTGCCGTACCTATTATTGTATTGTCGTTGCGAGCTGATTTTCAAACACATTTTGGTTTTCTTGTTTTCCTGTATTCAGGTACCTCTTTGAATCCCTGGAAGATGAAGTGAATAAAACAATGCATGTTTTAAGACTGATATGATTTCGTTTCTTTTAGTAATTAGTTTCTAAGTCACTGTTCTGCTTCATACATCAGTAGATGTAAATGATGCTAGACTATAAGAATTGTCATTGTATAAATGAATTTCAGGACTTGGATCTGATTTTATGTGGAAATGTGTACCGATTTTAGTCTTAGTCTACATTGGGATCACTTGATTTAATTCTGTTTGGTCTATTGTTATGGCTTTCAGTTTCTCCAAGAGGATTTGCCTCATTCGACAAGTCCTTCAATATGGAGTGAATTTGTTGGTTTAGTTTTGCATTCATTCATGAAGCTTATGCATTGTATAAATCTGGGTTAAGGCCTCCTGTTAGTATCATATCTTGTGCTTCATATGAGTAATATTGTAAATTTGGAGATTAAGCATGTGTTTTGATTATTTCCACTCTGCTCCAGTTTATTTAAATCTATGTCCACCTATTCATTGTCTTTTGTTGGGCTGTCACTATTAATTGCAGGTCGCCAAGTTCAGTTATTGTGATGCTCAAAATGGTTAGGCTGTTTGCATTGAGTTAGTTAGGCTCAGAAGGCCTTAACGTTGAAGCATTTATAGGGGGCTGTTGGGCCTAACATTGACCCAAAAGAAGCAGCCCCTGACCAGCCGGATTGGTTTTGTTGTGGGCTTAATTTGGAGTCCAAACATTAGTTTGTTTTTCTTAATTCTATGATTAATTCAGTAATAAAGGGAATTCAATGTGGAGTTTGGCTCAAGGTTCGAATTAATTTCATTGTTGAGTTTTGTTAAGCATGCTCATAGTCCGATTGTAATGAGCCTCATGTTAAGAATGTGTCTAAAAAAATAACTGAGCTGCGTGTTTGGCCCAGTTGAACCCCAAGGCCTCCTACTGATTCATCTTTGATTCTGGCCTCATTTCAAGCTCAATTTCCCTCTTAGGACCTCTGGGCATTTCTAGGCTTATCGCAAGCCTCAAAACCT